AGGGACCCACCAGGACCGCCCCACCCCACCCCCTGCTCCATCTCACAGATAAGGAAACTGAGGCACATGGAAACTAAGTGACTGGCATGTGGAGAATAGGCGACTGGCCCGAGATCAGCCACCTTACTTAATGTCTCTCAGCTCAGTTTCCTCATCAACAAAATGGGAGGGATAATAGTGCCTCCCTCCTAAGGTTGTGAACTGCAGTAGAAGCTAAAAAGCACTGAATACCTCCTGCACACCAGGCTTGTGCTGGGCACTAGATGAGCATTCTGTCTTTTAAAACGCACAGCGGTTACGTCAGGGTGACATCCGGGCAGGCAGGTGCCTTTTCCGGCTGCCCTCGGGGGAGGACAACAGCCCAGCGTTGGCCATCGGAGTGTCCAACTTCCTGTCTTGTCACAACATGAACCAGGGCACCGGCTCCTCAGCCCAGTACAAGGCAGGTCCGAAGGGGCCCTGGTTGGCTCCCCCTCCCTTTCCCACCAGCTTCTCCTCCTGCCCCCCAACCCCAGCTGGCTAACTGTGTCTCTGCCCTCCACAGGGCTGGAGAATGGGAAGGAAGAGGGGAAGGTGACAGGGAAACGGGTCACCAGCCTCGAGACCGGCAGTATTTAAGCAGACTTCTCTGCAGAGGTGTTTCGATGGGGGGCTCTCTCCTGTGCACTTCCCCCAACAGGGCTTCCCCAAAACGCAGGGGACACGTGTCCAGTTCTCCAAATCCCCCTCAGAGCCAGCCCCTCGGTCTGGTCTGAGGGTGAACAGGATGCAGCCCCTCGCCAACACCCAACACCCTGCTCGATCTTTTCTAAAATCTCTGTCGGTCTCCACTCCCAACCCTGTGGGTGAGGGTGTCAAAGTCATGTAGCAGGTTCTCAGCCACCTGCCACCAGAGCCTGCCCCCGGATGCTGTTGTCTTCGCTGAAACTTCCGGTTTAACATTTCTGACAAATACGCCCAGCCAACCTCCAGGCTCACGGCCTACCCCACCCACCACGCTGCTGCTCCTGATCACCGGGTTCTGGTCCTCTAGGTGGGCTAGACGAGACCTGCCGCACGGGGTGGGGACCCAGGGTCTCATTCAGAGGACCGCTCTGCAGACTGCCGAGTGGGGCCGATGAGCCTCCCCCCGCCCATCCAGCTGTCAACAACACACCTACTGTGCGTGTCAGGGTGTTTCTGGTGCCTCTGCCACAGGGAACTGTCCCTCCTCCCTGTCTCTGGTGCGCAAGCATCAGTATTTAACTTCGTCCCTGGCTGGTTGGTTAGTGAGGAAAAGTTTTCTTCCTGGTGGCACATAGCCAGGGGCATGGGCCAGGTGGCTTCTTAGACAGACAGAGGGCTGGTCCCCGGACTGAGGGTGCAGCGATGACAGCGGTGGTGGCTGGCGAGGGGTGGGGTGGTAGAGAGAGGAGCCTGCAAGCCTCCTCTGTGCCCCTTTCTTGCTCAAGATTCGCCATTTACTGCCACTTAACCCACTTTATCAGCAGACGGCCTATTTTTGAAAGTGTTTTCTCCACTCCTAAGGAGGGCGAGGTCTCGGTTTTAACACGTTTCTCACCGCCTGCCAGGAGAGATGTCGTTAATGACGCACATGCTCCCCTGGGGCCTCTCGCCCCGTCAGAGAGCACGGGAGTGGCCTAGTCATGGTGCCCTCGGAGACCCCAGAAAATGTTCGTACACATGTCACAAGTCGCCACGGGTCTCCAGCAGTTCTTACCTGTCCCTGGTGAAATGACAAGTATTCAGGCAAAAAACAGGGAGGTTTTCACCAAGTTAAGTTGCTTCCACTTAAAGGTTTTGTCCTTTTTGAAACCAGAAAAGCCGGCATTAGGGCTGCTTGTCACCTACCAGACCCAAAAGCAGAGACAGGGATCGAATCTTTATGGGGGCTTTATTCAGATGACAGGCGCCCCCGAGTGGACAGGGGGTTCCCACCCTAACGGTCTGACGTTCCCTTTTAAGCCAGACTTTTTCCTACAGAGAACAAACTGCGGTGACCGGTTTTGAAATTCCGGGAAAATCAGATCTAAAACATGGCAGCAGCAGGCAGCCTGCCTCTCCCAGGAACACAGTGGCTGCTGCCCCGGGTTGTGGTCTTCAGCGGCGCCCCAGGAGGTCGGGCCAGGGTGGGCCGCATCTGCAGTTCCTGAAACAATTGCTTCAACAGGTGCCTTCCCCGCTAGGCTCATTAACTATCTACCTTAAGCTAAAATTGTCCAATTCTTGAGTCCCCTGTCACTTTCATCCTACAAGTGCGTTCTTTCTCCCTCTCTAGTGTTAAATGTCCCCTCTAGAGGGTGGTGAGAACATGGACGGTTTCCCTAAAAGAACTTGAGGAAGTGGGAAGGCGGCCGACTCACTCGGCCCCCACTGGTTTTGATTTACTGGTCTGTGACCTCTGGGGGCTTCAGATCTGTTACTCCAAGGAACGAAGCGCAAGTCTTGATCCCTGGCTCTGACAAAGGGGGGATTCAGACCCAGGAGTGAATGAGTTCCACAAAAGTCGGCAGTTCTTCTACTGGGAGATGGGTGTCCAGGGCCTACCCCGGTTCCTCCACTGAGGTGCTGTGTGCCCATAGAAGATACCATCGCCCTCTCTGAACCTCTGTTGTTAGGGCGGTGACACGGGCTGTGAAAGAGAGAAGGAAGTGCAGAGAGTAACGGTTTTACTTCACTTTCCCAGCGGAGGGACGGGGCGGGTGGGGGGCAGGACGTTTGGGCTGCGCTGCAGCTTGTCTCGATTTTCGAAACAGGACACTCGGGACCATGCAAGGCAGGACCCCGCACCCAAAGCCACCATCTGCTTTGCATGGTCCCGAATGTCCTGTTTCGAAAGTCCCAGGAGCCTCTGAGGCTTCAGGGCGCTCCTGGTAATTTTCTGGTCCCGAGGAGAAAGGCTCCTGAAACAATTCGGGTCACTCATGCTTCACTCAGGGGCCCAGCCCGCTCTGGGAAGAGGGCCTGAGAAAGGGGCTTTTCTCCTATTGCCCATTTCCTCGTCGCTAAGCACAACCAATAGCCCACGCCTGTCTCTCCCTTAGAAAGACTCCAGGGCCTAAACGTTCATTGTCCACACCTCAAGAAGCAAAGACCTGGGGGCAGGGGGGTCCTCCTCAGTGCAGACCCTCCATCTGCAGGCCCTCTCCCTCTCCACTCCCTCCCACTCCCTCGGGAGGTGCCTGTCAGCACCCGGCCAGAAAGCAGAGGCAGGGATTGGATGATAACTGGGCTAATATCAGAGGCCCGCAGCCTGAGGAGGTGGCGGGTAGAAACCCTCACATCCACCTCACTTTGAACTTTCAGAAGCAAATTTACGGGGGGGGGGGGGGGACTCGGGAATTCCGAGGGGAAATTCCTAGGGGGGAGGACGCAGTCTTGCTGTTTCTCTGGGAGGAGGAGCCGGCAGGGCAGTTGTGCAGCTCAGTCCGGAGCTGGCTCCCTTTGCTTCGCGTTGTCTCTCTGTCGGCATCAGCTTGCCCCGCCCCCTGCACACGTGTGGTTGATGGCCGGGGAGGCTGTGTGCTCTCTGCTTAGGGAGGAGGAGTTGAAACCATTTGCCCTCGAGTGTCCTCGATTGGGGCAGATAACATCTTGCGATTCACAGCTGGCTGTAAGGTGCTCAAACTGTTCGGCCTTGTTTCAATTTCTTGTCTCAGTTTCCCCATTCCACTTGCCCAGGAATTTTCCTAGCTTCTTACTATCCTGTCTCCCTGGGCAACTCTCTACGCATCCCCAGCATGCCTGGCAGGGAGGGAAACCAAGATGAAAAAGAGAGAAAAGGAAAAGCAAAGGAATGTGGGGTGAGGGAGGTGAGAGAGGAGCAGCTGGTGCAGGTCCGTGTGCTCCCTGGAGTCTCCTCAGTTCCACAGTCGGGGTGGCAGTGGCCGTCCCTCCCTCCACCGGCCCCTCCCCCGAGCAGTGACCCTAGGGGCTGTGGCCCTGGCTAGCCAGACCCTGTGAGAACAGGACATTCAGTCTTAATTCATCTTTTTCTCCTAGCCCTTAAGTTTAAATGCTCAATAATTATGTGTTCAGCTGGACTGCAGATTTCTCTTGTTCTTCCTCCTAAGCAATAGGCTTCCTGAGGGCTGGGATTCTGTATCTGACCTTGGTTTACATTCGCTCTCTTTAAAAAAATGGCTTTTTATAAGGTTTGTATGTGTTATTTCTATCTAACTCACAGCAAACCCTGTGAGATTCCTACCAGTGTTATTATCCCCACTTTACAGGGAAGGAAACTGAGGCAAGGGGAGGCAGCCATCTTTTCTTCTGTCTCATGGTAACCACAGGGCCCAGGGTTCAAATCCTGGCCTCTATTTCCAGAGACAAGTGCTGAACCACTTAATGCCATTGGAAAGAATGACTGTCTTTGGTTTTATTGCAGTCAGGCCGGGTCCTCACTCTGCTGTTTCCTGGAAAACTCATCTCCTGACAGCTGAGTGGTTTGCTCAGGCCAGACACACATACATGAAGCTTCCATAACCCATGATCTCTGCTACATTCATGGCGACGGCTCGGGCGGCCAAAGAGAACCCTTCCCATAGCAGGTGACTAGTTATACAAGCTCATTAGCCACGGCTGAGGGACGGGAACTGGCAGTTCCAGTCCCGGGTGAAGAAGCCCCTGCTGGCTGAGCTCTGCCTCGCAGGAGCTCTGTGTTCCTGAGCAAGTCTCGCATCCTCTCTGGGAAAACGAGGAGGTTTAAACACGCGCTCCCCCTAAAGGCCTTTCCAGGTAGTAGAGCAGACATTAAACAGGTGGCTTCTAGGGATGGAGAGACTGGAATTCAAGTCTCGGCCTTGCCTCACCCCTTGACCCAGGACACCCATTCACTTCCCCAAGTGAAGCCCCCACACCGACAATCAGAAAATGTGGCGCCCGCCACAGCGGGTTGCTGTGGACGGGGGTAGGTCGCACATTGTTTATAAAGTACAAAGGTCGATGCAGATGTGTAGCCATCATGTTCCCGTGAGCATCTCCCAAGCCTTTGTCTCCCAGGAGCTCTGAGCAAGATGTCCGCAGCACCCGCCAGCAATGGGGTGTTTGTCGTCATCCCGCCCAGCAACGCCAGCGGCCTCCGCCCACCACCAGCCATTCTGCCCGCCTCCACGTGCCAGCCTCCGGGGATCCTGCACTTGGAGGAGCCACCGCTGGGGGCACAGACTCCAAGAACCACCCAGCCTCCGGACTTGCGGCCCACGGAGACCTTCCTGACAGGAGAGCCCAAAGCTTTAGGGGTAAGATCGGCCTCTCCGGTAATGACCGGAGGCAATGACCTGAGGCGTAGACCCGGAGCAGGGAGGCGTAGGCGCCTAGCACAGGGGCGCACACCTTGGAGAGGGGGCAAGCAGTGGTAAGTACTTAGTGAGCGCTGGAGGTCTCAGCTATGCACTAGACCAACAAGGACCCCTCCTTGTGGAGCTCACAGAGAGTAGCAGTAAACTGATGATGAAGATAACTCCAAATAAGGCAATGAGGTCCAAAATGCAGGAGCGGGGAGGGCAACACTAGCTCGGGTGAACAGAAATGTCTCTCTGGAAAGACGACATTTAAGCTAAAACCCAGCTGCCAAGCTGAAGCCGACCAAGGGAAGAAGGTCTGGAGGCAGAGAGAACAGCAAGTGCAAAGGCCCTGAGGTGGGAAAGCGTGTGGCTTGTTCAAGGACAGAAGACAAGGCTGACATGACTGGGACGTAAGGAGCAAAGGAAGGAGGGGGAGGGAAGGAAGTGGTGGCTGAGGGCCAGCTCCTGCCGAGCTGACGGTCCATGAAAGGCAGTCCCTCTGGCCTTTCCCAGTCTCGGATGGCCTTGTGATACTGGTCCCTGGGAGGGAATAAAACATTAGATAGGAGGTAGGTGGATGGATGGATAGATAAATAGATACACATATTCATCTTTATATACACACACAGTGTCTTCAGTTTGTCCCTTGGCCTTTGTTTCTCCAAGTGGAAGATGAAAACATAGTTTAGTAATGGTGATGACGATGATGATGATCATAGCTCTTATTTATTGGGCACCCCCAAGAGGTGCACACACTATGCCAAGGAAGTTGCAGACACTGTCCCCTTCCGTTCTCATCACCACTTTGTGAGACAAGACGCATGGTCCCCACAGGACAGATCAGGAAATCGAGGCCCGCCAAGACAAGGTCACTGGCCCAAGGCCACACGGTTGTTAAGTGGCATCCTGTGCCCTGGGACGGCCCAGCTGTCAAGTTCTACTTTCAACCCCAATGCCCTATGACACCCAGAAACTCTGGCCTGAACACGCTGGGCCCCAAGACTGCGATTCCTGATGTTCACAGGCAGACCCGCCCATACGTGGGCCACGCTGGTTTGGGTGGTGGTGAGTGCCATGTCGTGAGGGGGTCCATCTGGAAGTCAGGAGCTGGAAAGGGCTCCTAGACCAGGCAGAGGTTGGATCCAAGCACCTCCAGTGTCCTTGCACTCAGTCCTAGAACTTAGTCATTAAAACATTTGGAAAGAAATGTGGCAGAAATTACAAGAAGCCCACATGTCCCCACCTTTGGGAAAACCATTCCACTCCTGGGAAGGGATCAGTGGGGTGCTGGTAAGCCACCTCTTTAAAATAAAAATAAACATTTAAAGACATTTCAGCTGGGTAGGGAGGGTCGGCTCCAAGCCACAGGCGAATGGAGTGATGATAGACACCGAAAGGGGCAAGATTCCCCAGAAGATACACGGTACGGGATGAGGAGGGAGGGGAAGGAAAGGGTGAGGCACTGTGTGCAGGAAATGAAATCAGGTCAAAGAAAACCAGGGAACCACACAGAGCGAAGCTGGAGAGCCAAGGGGTCACGGCGCAAAGCAGGATGCAGACCCGTAGAGACATGGAAACAAGCAGGTGGGTCCCGAAGGCTGTGGGGAACTGCCTTTCCTTCTTAAAACTGTCTTTTACGGTTGTTATAAACCGTAAGGAATCTCAAAAGCACGGAATGTGAGTTTATTTCCCAGTCCCTTGGGGAGCACGGGGCTCTGGCGCGCTGTCCTCCGCGGCCGGCAGGGGGCGGTGTGGAGCGCGGCCGCCCGCCAGGCTGAGCTGCCCACCGCTCCCCGCAGACGGTGCAGATCCTCATCGGCCTCATCCACCTGGGCTTCGGCAGCGTGCTGCTCATGGTGCGCCGTGGCCGCGTGGGGATGCTCTTCATCGAAGGCGGCGTCCCCTTCTGGGGAGGAGCTTGCGTAAGTGCGGAGTCATTTGGGGGCCATGCCCAGAGTCACCTCTGCCCCCCCGTGCACACCCCATCGCGTTCTCCTGAGCACAGCCTTGAGCCTCAGTCTAACTCCTAATCGCAAACCCAACCCTAAACCCGAGCCAGCGCCCACTCCTCTGCGTGCCAAGCCTCCAGCAAAGAGCCCGGCACGGAGAAGGCTCCCAGAAAGGATGGGGTGAAGGGGTGGCTGCAGAGGATAGGGATACCATCTGTGTTACCTGGATCCTCAGCCTCACCCCGCGTCCGAACCTGCCATCTGCCCTCCTGAGTCCCAGCCCCCCACGAGCTCCCTCGCCTGGGAGTCTGACCAGCTCTGAAGGCCCTGAGCCTATTCCTCCACCCACACCCGGCCAACCCGGCAGCGACCCCTGCTGGGCAACCTCCGACTTGCAGAGAGCACGTTTGCATTTGCCGTGCTCCCAGGCAGAGCACAAGCTTTGCAGTGAAGACACAGGAGTGAAGGCGTTGGTCTGAGTCACAGGCCTCAGCCTCCTCATCTAAAAGTCGGATCCATAGTTCTGGGCCTGCCTACCCCATAGTTGGGGGAAGTCAAGAGCTAATGCACGTGGGAGCCAATTACCAAGCATTGATTCTGCACCAAACGGGGATTGTCGTTTGCAACGCTCCCCCCTTTGCAGAGAGTCAGAGACTGACAGGAGAAGGACATCCCTCCAGTAAGTGGTGGTTCCCGAACCCGGGCACAGTAGCCCTTCAAATAGTCCATCGCTACCCAACGTTGAGGGAAACATCGCTAATGGGACTTCTTGATCGTTTATCTAATTGCCAGTCTTCCCCAGTTAGACTAGAAGCCCCGTGAGAGCAGGGGTCTTGTCCATATTACTCAACTTTGTTCTGTTCTCGGCACATACCTGCTGCTCGGTAAATGTCTGGAGGCATAATGCCTTCCCTACCAGGCTCTGGTGATAGGACATCAATGAAAATGTCTTGCAAGCTTCAGCTGGTTCACTGGACAGGGGCCCCTAGTAACCGGAGAGGTAGTAAGGTGCCTGGCCAGGAGGCAGAGGAGGTGGCAGCCGAGAGGTGCCCATGGCCTCGAAAGAGCCAAGCATATGTGTTCTGCTCAGAGTCCTGGCCAAAGCCCCACAGGAGTCCCCTCTCCCCCACACAGTTCGTCATCTCTGGGTCCCTTTCGGTGGCAGCTGAGAAGAGCCACACCAGCTGCCTGGTAAGTCTGGTCAGGGGACCCGGGACAAGGGTGGGGCCATGGTGGGACTCGGCTCCACTAGGACCCCAAATACACTCACCCACTCAGCTCCTTCCACAAGCACTTCCTGGGGGCTCGCTGAGGGCCAGGCCCAGGACGGCGCCCAGACAAGACAGACCCTGCCCTTCGAAATACACTGTGGGGCGGAAAGTGATGGGTGGTCCTCAGATAGAGCGCCTGTGGTTGTTCAGAGAAAAGGCAGGTGCAAGAAGCCCTCCTGGAGGAGGAGGCAGCTAAGCTGGGCCCTGGTGGGCAGACGGGACTGAGAAACACAAAGGGAAAGCATGAGGCTGCAGAAGGGGCCGTGGGCAGGGCTGCTGCAGAAACCGCGTGTGGTTCCATTCGAGATCAAGGAATGGAAGTGGGGAGAATTTAGATGCAGATGTCGAGGTCCAGATGGTCGTGGAAGGCTCGGTGTGGACAACGGGGAGGCGATCCTGGCTTTGGACCCGGGGACTGCTGAACAGAGCCATTCCCAGGGGGCCCTGGTGGGGGGGGGGGGACAGGAGGAAAGGAGAGGGGTCAACGAGAACTGGAGTCAGTGGCCACTGCCCCCAGGCCGTGGAGGGCTGGGCGTGGGAGGCTCGGGCTCTTCCTCCCCTCTCCTCCGCTCCCTCCGGTCTCTCTCATGCAGGTGAGGAGCAGCCTGGGGACAAACATTCTCAGTGCCATGGCGGCCTTTGCCGGGACAGCCATTCTGCTCATGGATTTTGGTGTCACTAACTGGGTGTGTTCCAAGATGCCTTCAGCAGCGGGGGGGGGGGGGGGGGGGGACATGGAGAGTGGTAGAGCCCTATGCAGGGGGTGGGGAAGGCAGGAGTGTTCAGCACCAGGGGGCCAGAGCCCTGGGCATTGGCTGGGCCTGCCAGTCCCACTAGACCCGTGAGTATATTGACCCCATGACCCTGCCCCAAGTATGGGCTTTGGGGGGGCGGAGAGACAGCCTGGTGGAGTGAGGAGAGGACACAGGACAGGCAGAAGCAGGACTGGCTGCAGCTACGGCTCTGCCACCAACTGGCTGTGCGGCCATGGACCAGTTATTCTCGCTCTGGACCTCTTTCCCTCCTCAATTCTACAACTCTCAGCTTGTCTTAACTATGGGTTTTTGGCCCCCAGGATGTGGGCAGGGGCTATCTGGCTGTGCTTACCATCTTCACCATCCTGGAGTTCTTCATCGCCATCATTGCCACCCACTTTGGGTGCCAAGCCTCCCGCGCCCAAGCCAATGCGGTGAGTATTTCCATCCCAACCTGGGCCCGAGGAAGGCTGTGCGCTGCAAAGGGTCTCTGCTTCCAGACCCTCCCTGCTTCCCTCTCAGGAGCAACCCGGAAGGACTGGGCTTCGATGAACTCCACTCCTAAATGAAGGAACCCCAAAAAAAGTCTTTGCCAGAAGATGGGACTATTATCTTTATGGCCACAGGAGGGCGCCAGCACCAATGGGCCCCACAGCTCTGTGAGCCACGACGCAGAGCAGAGTAATGGCCCTGGACGCAGGGGAGAGGTTGGAGGGCTGCACACCTTTGAGTAGAACTCTCTAGAAGTTCACTGGCCATGAGAGAGACAGGGGCCAACAGAAAGGCCAGCATGCCTCACTGGAAACTGAGCTTAGGTTCCCAAACCCTCTGAAGCCAGAAGAGGGGTGGAGGCGGGTGTTGGTGGCAGGCGAACCAGTTGGAGTGAAGGCTGCCTCGGGCAGGAAAATGCAGATCTCGGCGTGGGGGTGCAGCTGGGGAGGTGGCTACCTGCAAAATGGGAGGTGAGGCTATTGAAAGCCTTTGAGGAGACACGTATACCCCGAGCAGGGCTCGGGGAAATCAATCCAGAGGGTTTGTCTAATGCAGGGGGCGGAGAGAAAAGGCAGAGGCCAGCCAGCAACGAGGAGGCTGGTGCTATGTATGGCCAACTTGACCCAGTGCAGGGCCAACCAGAGAGATCTCTAGCTTCTAGAGAGATGAGACTCTTGTCTGTTTTGTTCACTGCTGTATTCCCATCGTTGGCTCTGGTAGATATTCTTTGAAGTATGACTTGAACGAAGGAGAGTTTCTGAGTTGACCTATTCAGGCTCCCCGAATTCGTTACGAGGGTGCTATTCTCAGAATTGCCACAAGGAGGCATTGTTGTAACACCTCCCTGCGGGGCTGGACCTCTCCTAACATTGTCATTGGGTTTTCTTTCTCTTTGCAGCCTGTGATTTTCCTGCCAAACGCTTTCAGCACAGACTTCAGCATCCCCAGCCCCGCAGCCTCTCCACCCCCTGCCTATGACAATGTGGCGTATGTGCCCAAGGATTTGTCGGAGTAGATGGTCACTCTGGCCTGTGGGTGTCCAGCCTTTCCCTTCCAAGCCCCGCCTTCCCCACCCCCACCTCGTTAATCTGAGGCAGACCCCCTCCCCACTCCTCACATTCTGTGGCCCTCGAGTGCAGTCTTCCCCGAGGACGTCTGTCCCACAGACACTTGTCCCACAGTGATTTCTTTCCGAGAAGTGCTGGTTGATGCCCAGGGCGTGTCCCTGGGCCCCGCCCCCTTTCTGTGCCGCTCTGTATTTCCCTCTGCTCATTGGGGAAACCCTGCCTCTTCGGAGACAGGTTCAGGGGCTGCCCCGGCCCTCAGACCTGGGGAAGGTTACTAAGCTCAGAGAGCCCCGAATCCTCCAGAGGGGAGTAATGTGCCCAGCTCCCGAGCCCACAGAGCCGGCAGTGGCCCGGCCTTGTGACTCGGGGCCCCAGGACCAGCTCTGTCCTTGTAATCTGCTGCCCCACCTCATCAGGCCTGTTTCCTAATGAAAAGAAACCACTGAACCAGATGGCACCTGCGGCCCCCCAGCTCCACCGGGCTCCCCAAAAGCTTGGTCTGAGCCAAGCGCTGTCACCCCACTGCTCCGAAACGCTCGTTTCCCGTCCCTGTAAAATGGAGTCGGTACTGACTCTGGCCACCCACCCCCAAGGGCCCGGGACTTTGCCGGGGAAGGTCGGAGCCAGCCCACCAGACCCCATCATCATCCCCGGGTGCACAGTGATGGTGAGGCTCAGGACCTCCCTGTGCCCCCCACCTCCCTCCGGCCCAAAGGGCACCACGAGCTGGGCTGCCCGGGGCTGAGGCGACCCCTCAAGCTGGTACAGAGGCCCTGGCGGTGGCTCATCCCACCCACATCACAGACGGAAATAAACAGTGCGGCTTACACTTTGCACTGGTCTCTTGCAATGGCTTTTTCTTTTTCACTCTTGGTGGCTTCAAAAGGCTGTCCTGTGTTTGTCAGAAGACCTGGGTCACTGTCCCACTGTCACAGCAAAAGGGTGTCTCTGGGGTGGGAGCTCCATGTGGTGTGATCCTCACACTTGTTCTGTCCGCCCCTGAGCCCAGAAAGGCAGGCATTCATATGCCCCCTCTGCAGCTGAGGGCGCGGAAGCTTAAAGGGGTTAAATCAGGTACCCAAGGCCACCAATCTGTTAAGGGGCAGAGCTGGGGTTTGAACCCAGCTCCATCTGATGCCATGGCTGGTGACCACAGGACTCCCTACAGTCCAGACCCAGTGCTTCCCATCAGCCCTTCCCGTCCGGCTCCAGTTTCTTCGTCCCGAAGACTGGGGTAGGGCTGTGTTCCTGAGCAAGCCCACTTTGTCACCTGACAAACTCCAGCTCCTCCCGAAGAACCTGATTTTAATGGTGCTCCTTCTGTGAGGTCTTCCCAAAGGAGGGGTAGCCAGCTAGGTGGCTAAGTGCTACCCAGCCACGGGGCTGGGACGAGTGGGACCATCGAGGACCCACTTAAGAAGGTGCTCGCTCCCAGGGCCACACAAGGGCAGAGCTGGAGCGGGGGTCACAGCAAGCTGTGGCTTTCAAAATCGAGAGAAGAGGCTTGAGGACTTGGAGCTGGAACTGAAGTCCACTTAGCAAAGTATACAGTTGGGGGGATGCGTTTGCCGGTTGAAGACCAGCTTTCCTCATACACATCAGATGTTTTTAAAGTGAGGGGAGGAGTTTGGAGAGAGGGAGGGAGGGAGGGGGGAAAAGGAGGAAGAGAGGACTTCCTCAGGCCGGGCTGGTCACATCCGTGCCCTGTCGAGATGTGGGAACCAAAACCACAGGAATTAAAGAGCTGATGCTTCTTCACATCCCAGGTTGTAACCTGAGGCGGCCGCAGGGCCTTTAGAGACGTCTGCCCACCCGTCTAGACAGCTCGGAGCCAGAGCTGGAGCCGGAAGAGGAGCGGAGGAGCTGCGGGCTGTGCCTGGGGACAGGACCCGGGCCCTGCCCTCCCCTGCGGATCTAAGTAAAACCCCAGAAAGCTTCCTGTGTCCCCAAGAGGGAGCCAAAGGGACTGAGGGCTGCCGTGCTTTGTGGATGGGAGGACATCGCACCATTCATAAAACTTAATTCAAGATGAGTCACAGACCTAAATTTAAAAGCTAAAATAATCTTCTTAAGGAATGGGAACATGTCTTACATACTTTGGGATAAGCAAAGATTCCTCAAACTGGACCCCAAAAAAGAGTACTAATCATAAAAGAAAAAAAGTGGTAAATGAAAGTTTATTAAAATTAAGGCTTTCTGTTCATAAAAATGAAAAAAAAAACCACCATAAGTGTGAAAATGCTTCACAGTCCGGGAGAGGGTTTTGAAACACATAATATATGACTGACAGCCACCTGAAAATATATAAATCACTCCTGAGCACAAATAAGGAAAAGTGAGAAAACACCACTGAAAATGAGCACAGGACTCAACAGGCACTTCACCAAAAAGGCTACCGAAATGGCTAATAAGCGTGCTCAACAGCATTAGTCACTAGCGAAATACAAATTAAAGCCACAGTGAGATACCACGCCACGCCAAAACGGCTAAAATTAAAAAGGCCGCCCGTACACGTGTTGACGCGTTTCGGGAGCTCATCTTCTTAAACGTTGCTGGAGGGAGTGTAGTTGTGATGCAGCCACCTCGGAAAAAAAGTTTGGCAGGACCGGCCGAAGCGTGCGGTGTAGCCAACCGTTCTATTCCTGGCACACGCCCAGCAGAAATGAGTGGCTCTGTCCAGAAGAGGACAGCTACGGGGTTTTAAACGGCATCTTCGTTCCTAATAGGCAACCACTTGAAGCACCTCCCGGTTCATCAATAACAGAAGAGGTCAACAAATTGTGGTGTATCCCTAAAACGCGAATAAGTAAAAAACAAACTCCTGACCAGCTAACGCGCAGATGCCGCCTCTGAGCGCAAGAGGAGTGAGCGTCCTGTGTCATTCTGCTCAGATGGACGTCAAGGACAGGCAACGTAGGTGGATGGTGGAGAAGCCCGCAGGGTGGGTTTGCCCCGAGCTGGGGTGTCCGACCCTGTGGCATCTCTGGGCCATATTGAAAGAAGGAGGGTTGGCTTGGGCCACACGTTCAATACATTGCAACACGTAATCACACACACGCGGGCGCGCACACACACATCTCCTAATGTTTTAAGTAAATTTGCGATTTTGTGTGGGGCCACATTCCCAGCCACCCCGGGCTGCACGCCCAGGCCGGACACCCAGCAGGAGTGGCAGTTCTGAGCCAGCAGGGCATGAGGCAGCTTTGGGGGCCCAGGAAACGCTCTATATCTTGATCCGGGTGACGGTTACACGGGTGCAGACACAGATAAAAATTCATCGGGCTGTATGTATTTGTTGTGTAATTAGTTTTTTTTTAAGTAGGAAAACAAGAACAGAAAAATGTTACTACATTTGTTATCTGTTTCTATGTAACAAATTATCACAAACTTAACGGTTCCACATGCTTCTTGTCTCACAGTCCTGTGCTGAGGACCAGGGGCAGCTTGGTCCTCTGCTCCTGGCCTCACAAGGCCACGGTCAAGGTGGCGGCCGGGCTGTTTGCTCATGGTGGGGGGGCTCAGCTGGCGAAGAACCCACTTCAAGCTCATGCGCGTTGATAGCAGAACGAATTTCCTTGCAGCTATGGGACTTCCCGGCTGCCGCGTGGGCCCCAGCACAGCCAGCGAGGGAGAATGGAGCGAGTCTGCTGGGAAGATGGAGTCTTGCATGGAACTCTAATCGTAGGAGTGGCCTCTCATTGCCTTTGCAGCATCTGCCTAGCAATCAGAAGCACATCAGGTCCAGAGGGGAAGGATTCTTCGGGGGGCCACCTTAGAATCTGCCCGCCACAGTTACACTTTCAACTATTTAAATTCAGCAAATGTGAAAATGCGACTTGCTTCGTCTCTGCCAGCTTAACCAGCCCTGTCTTGACCCCCTCACACCCTTCAGCCCTTGGTTTATTTTTTTTCTCCCCCTCAACACAGTCCGCTTTCTCACTCCCGTTCTCCCCACTGAAATGCATTCTCTGAGGCTGTTGTCATTCACCTCGTGGCCACCGAAATCAATGGGCTTTTTAAAACCCATATTGTGATCATAATAACTCCATTCATTACTTAAGCGTTGCCTACCCTGGTCTCTCCTCTGTGCACTCTATATGTCCCCCAGGGGACCTCATCTGCTGCTGTGGTTTCAATTAACGTTTTATTCAGCAGGTGCTTTGAATACATCCTCCACATCCAAGCTCTGGGGACACTGGACATTAGCCAAAGTCCCCTCTTCTCTTGGAGCTCACATGAGCTGTCTGTCCCCTCCTGACTGTCCCCAGTCTCCCACCCCATCTCTTCTTCAGTGTCTACTTTCAGGTGCCACTGAAAAGAAATACACATCTTCTGCTCCAGCTCCAGCCGGCCATCTGTCCATCAATGTCACTGCAGACCTGGCTGTTGCCCAGGCCAGAATCCAAGCACCATTCTTGGTCCCCCACCTCCCCCAGCCCTATGTACAGTCAGTCGCCTCCTTGCTGTCCTTTCTCAGCTCACTCCGCCCTCCCCATCCTCCTTTCCAGCCCCTGGGGACCACAGACATCTTTCCCCTGCACATGGAGCAGCTCCCAGGCCCCCTAATCTGTGTCCCCAGCTCCGAGCCAGCCCAACCCTTCTCTGGGCTTGAAAACAGCCAGAGGGAATTTCCTGAAGCACGAAAGCAAATGGTATCGCTCTTCCTAAAGTCACCTGGGGCTCTCCTTTGCCCTCAGGCTGAAGTCCAAATTGCCTGGCAAGTTTCCAAGGGCCTGGAGACGGCTCAGGCTCACACCTCTGCAGCCGTCTCTCCTTACACTGGAACTGGCGGCCGTGCTGAACCCCTGAGGCTCTTCTGCCTGGGATGCTGCCCCCTGCTTGCCCCAGCCCACGTACTTCACTATGTGTCCCTTTTCATTCCCAACCCTCCTTCAGAGCTTGGTGTAGATGCCACTTCCTCCAGGAAGCCTCCCCGGCTCATCTCTCACAGTAAGGCTGCCCAGCCCCAGGTCTGGGAGAAGGTGAGGGACGTCTCAGCAGGCTCTCTGCCTTTGTGCGACGTGTCTGACACAAAGCCTGCGTGACAGCTGAGCGTGAGCGGCTCCTGAGAGTGTGCGGTAACTACAGTGCTTATTACACACGGCACCCGATGCAGGCCAGGCCCTGCTTTTAGGCCTTCTGTGTATTCTAAGTCACTGAATGCGTCAGCAACCCGATAGGTATTCTTATCCCCATTTTGCAGAGAGGAAATCCGAGGCCCAGAGAGGTCAAATAAATTACCCTAGGTCTCACAGCTATGAAGCGGTAGAATGAAGGTTTGAACTCAGGCAGCCCAGAATGGGCTCTGACAGTCTCTGCTGGGTTCAGCCAGCTGAAGTCATGTTCGGGCTGGGGGGGGCCCCTGTGATGCGCCCCTCCTGCCATAGCAGTATGGAGGACAGAAAGGAGGCGCCCAGTGCGGGAGCCGAGGGTGGTCACAGCACACCCACGCCTCTCCCACCGGAACCACCGCGCCAGGCGCCATCCTCAGGGGCCGCGTGGGGACAGGGGACAGGGGCCAGGGCAGAACAAGACGGCTCGCGGATCAGCCAAGTGCAACTTGTGGGCGGGGCCCGGATCCCGATTCAAGCCCCTGGAAGGTCACAGGTGCTAAGAAGACAATGAGAGACACCTGATTACTGAGTAGATGTCTGAGCTCTAGCTTGTCACAGGAACTAGGCAGAAGAGGTTTTTCTGACTCCTGGAGCTGAGCCTGTCCCGGACCAGGCTGCGGGGCCGCAGGATGATGACGTCGCCCATCCGGGTGCCTCCGTGGGCACCAGAACTTAGCTCGCTTTAATTCTCAGTCATGACCTGCGGTCGTACTTACTGTTAAAGTCCTCATCTTTGAGACATGAATAGTAGACAGGATGTCTGAGTTTCGCTCACCAACAGAGGAGGAGAGTGGGGTTCAGGGAGCAAGATCGGCGCAGAGCTGAGGTCCGCTGAGCTGGGGGTGGTAGGTGGGGTTCGCTGGGCCATTCTCCCCACTTTTGTGAATGATTGAGGCTTTCCAAAAGTAGCAAGGCTTGACCTCTGGCTCCATGAAGATTGTACAGTCATCCACACTCCCTCTGTCCTGCTGTGCAAACGGGTTAACCCCGTCAACTTTGACTCGCCAAAGGAAATGTCCCACTCTGAAGGAGGGTGCTACCCCACCTGCTGGGTTTGGGGGTAACCGCAACATCGGCGGCTCCCCTGCAGCTGGGCAGGAGGCAGGAGGTGGGGCCAGCGGGAGAAGATCCAAAGTCTGATGTTTCAAAGAAGTTCTGATCTCCCCGCGCTCGCTCTCTCCGTGGCGCTGAGGTGAGTCCAGAGGGCAGAGCGCGGCTGGGAGCTCGGAGCGGAGGCCTGGGGCCAGGTGAGTGGTCCCCCACCCTCTCCAGCAGAATCGAGGTCGCCATCAGATTTCTAGAAGCAGAGCCTGAGACAAGGACTCCGCGCCACTGGTTGGCGAAGGAGCGCCCTCGGGAGGAGCGGACGGGGGGAGCAGGACAGGGCAGAGGCGATGAGCCAAGGACGGATGTGGCCTGAGCTGCCCAGTCACTTCAGCCTGATCCCACGTGGGGCGCAGCAGGTGGGGTAGGGGGGGGCTCAGAAGCACAGACTTGGTCCCACCCTGAGGCAAGGAGGCCGGGCTTTCCGGTGCAGCCTTGGGGGGAGGGCGCGACTCAAACTCCCAAAAGGGAGAGGCCGTGGGGCCTTAGCGGGTCAGTTACTGTGGCCGGAAATGGGTGTCCACCCCATGGAGAGGCTCTGGGAAGTGGGGGGACACCCACACATCTGCGCGACGGAGGAATTCACTCCCTGGAGCCCTGTTCTGCCTGCAGTCCCTGACCGGTACAGGTGAGGCAGGGAGGGGCTGTTTCCACTCCGATCCCGGAAACTCATACGCACAGAACGGCAGGTTCGAGGGGGCAGAGAGGGAACAGGGCTTTCCCAGGGCCACTCGGAGCCAGGTCTGGAGTCCAGGCCTCCTGACACCCCAGTGCGGAGGCCTCTCTTTCCCGCAGGCCTCACCCCTTTGTGCAGGTGAACCTCTCTCCACACTGGTACTGCGTCCTGAAGCGCAGGGGGGTGGGGGCTGGCTTTGGCACGTTTACAGCTATTTTCTAACCAGCATCTACCCAACCCCAACCCTCTACGTGGGTCCCTGGTGCCCCTCCAGTCTCTCTGTCATATGACGTGACTTGATACCTCTCAACTGCTGCATTTCTCTGCTTGACATGCATGCATACACACATGCACACATGTGTACACACACACCCCAGGAAGCCCTCGCTGTCCTCCAGACCTGTGCAGCAGGGTCTGACTAGGGTCGCAGGTTCCTCAGTCTGCAGAACTCCAGAGACAAACGCAGACCACTAATTCAATACACCCGGTGCTCTCCTTCCCTCCTTGCACCCTTCCCCAGAGCCCTCAGCCCCACCCCTGCCCCACAGCCACCCCTCCAGATGACTCAGACAGGACTCATCAGGTCTTAAATGAGAACCAGACGTGGGCCAGATGGAGCCGGGATGGCAGGATTCCAGGCACGTGGCGGGCTGCTGGCAGCAGTGGCGAACTCGCAGCACACGGAGCAAGCCCGAGACTGCCTCCGCCAGGCCCCCCAGGGCGCAGACCTCATCCTGCATAATCCCCACAGCCTCTCCCCAGCCCAGTTTAGCCACTAGCGCTTCCCAAGTGACAGGAGAGGAGACTCTCGGGCTGAGATGTAATCAGCCCGCCCAAGGTCAAAGTTCCAAAGAGCAAAGCCGGGTGTCTGGCCCAGGCTCATCCACCTCCAGTGCTCATGACCTAGTTCGCTCCTGGGGAACTGGAGGGTCCTAGCTCTTTCCCTGCCCAGAACCCGGGGAACACCCAGGCCCTGGCTGGTGTCCTTGGGGATGCAAGGCTAGCTGGCCCTGTGGGCCGTGAGCTGACTGCAGGAACTAGGGAGGGGTCAAGGCTAAAATAGTTTCCCCCCACTGTTCTCCAGGGTCTGCATCACAGGCAAAAGCCTTCTGAGGACTCAGAGTTCACGACCTTCTTCACAAACGAGCAGCCATTTTCCTCTGGCTACCCAAGCCCTGCCTTCTCCAACTCCATCCCTCTTAGTCGTACAAAAGTCCCTTGTAGCAGTTTTCTGTCGTGTGAGAGAATTATGTGGAACTGGCAGTGACCCTGTAGGTCACAGTCCAGTCCCTAACCTCGCTGTGATAGGCACACGAGAAAACCAAAAGGAGGGAAAAGAAACCACCCCCCCAAAAAAAAACCCACAACCACACATCTCTAAGTTTAAGGCCAAAAGCGTTCTCCACAGCCCACCCAGTGGGTAGAACTAGTGGACAGTGAGACCGAGTTCCCACGGCCGATGAAGTCCGGGCAGGGCCCTCGCCGTTGGAACAGAGCACTCCGTTGCAGGAGTTCTCGGTCTTTAATGCTCGGAGCACGGGAAGGTGATATCCAGGGTTCCCAGACTTGTTGGACCACGGAAGCCTTTTGCTGCTGATCTGTCAGGGCCTGCGTTCCATGAAACACGCTTTGAGGAAGGTTACTCTGGCTTCTTGAATCTAATTCCCTAACGGGTAATTGGACCATTCCCACTGCCACCACTCGGGAAGCAAAAGCCAGGCGGAGGCACCCCTCCCGGGACCAGGAACACACTACCCCCCCGGAAAGCCTCTCCCATCCAAGACCCCTTGGCCAAGAAGTCTTCCTTCCTTTGTGCTTCCCAGTGTTGGTGCTTCCTCTGTCTTCCCAAGCGCAGGGGACTCTCGTTGCAGCCCGGGCCTAATCGATATAGGTCTCTGCCACCAGCTACATGCCTCGGTCCAGCTGGCGACACCAGCAGAGCCTGGATGGCTGGGAATTGAGAGAGGGACAAGTTCCCAAGCATAGCTGAGTCACGTCACAGAAAAGAATCCTGTGTCTCTGGGTTCAGCTTCTGGAGCCCAGGAAGGAGAAAGGCCCAGCCTCCCCGCAGCCCTCCCGCTAATCAGGACCTGTTTACCACGGGCCACTGGAGACACAGATCAGGGGTCGCCGCTGTCTGGGATGAGAGCGCTGGCATCAGACCACACAGAGTCCCAGGCCCAGGCACCTCTTTGCTGTGTGACTTTGGCCAGGACACCTGACCTCCCTGAACCTCGGTTCTCTTTCTAGGGAATGGAGACAACTTCCCAGGAACTGACAGGGGTCAGCGGGCGCAGTGCCTAGCACAACTCTGGCGCTCGCCAGCCCTGTGGCCCCATGTGGCCCTTTGGCTCTCCCAACACTGTCCTTTCCTTTCCTCGCTGCTCAGGAGCCAGTCGTCCTGGCTGCTGTCCCTCCTGCCCCCTCCCAGGCCGCTCCCCCACCTCATCATCACCACCACGACAGCAAAACCGCAAAGTACGGATGCTCCCACAGGACCCGCTCCATTCACACCGTAGGAATCAAAACCTTGGAGGATGTGCCCCCCACTCTTTCTTTTTACTAGAAAGAGTACAAGAGTCCACTTCCTTTAAAGGTTTTCTCATGAGTCCCATGGAGAATCTCCTCCTACCAACAAACATCACTACAGCCAACCTCTCCCTTCCCCTCCCAGCCCCCAACCACTCCATTCTCCGGGCAAAGACTTCAGCTTTTCTTACCAAATCACCAGGCAGCCCCCAAGTTCTGATGTGCCATGCGGCATCAGCACACCACAGGCAGGTCTCAACAAGTGATGCTTCGAGTCTCCTGCAGAGTTTTCCCCCATTGAAACACCCAGAATGTGCGTTTGCATTCACTGAGGCAACTGTGCGTGGAGGATTTAAGCCCACAAGCTCTGGAGCCAGTCTGCCAGGCTTTAAGCCCCAGCCCAGCCATTGGCTAGCTGTGTGACCTCAGACAAGTGGCTTAGCCTCTCTGAGCATCAGATGCAAATGGGCACAGGGATGAGGATAAAATCAGACGATGAAGGTAAAATGCTTATGGTACTTCGAGAAACAGAGAAAGTGCTTCTAAATGTTGACTTACTGTCTTGGTTAAAAATTGACTTCCCAGCTCGGTGTTGGCTCATAGCAGGTCCTCAGCAGGAGTTCCCTTCCCTTCTGTCCCCCATCGCCCCAAACCCAGGAGGCACCCCCATAGCCACAGGTGGTGGGACAATTATTCGATCCCCACCCACCCTCATTTGCCTCATCTGGGGCCAGTAGGTTCACCATACCTGCCCAGCCCTGCAGCACCGGGGCTCTTGCCAAACTACACTTGCCAGAGTGGTGAGTTCTGGCTTTGGATAATTGAAAGTCTGTCCGCTCCTTGATTTTCTGCCCCAGAAGGAGCTGCGTCCTGCCAATTGCACAGAGGCTATGTATGAGTGGCAGCTCAGTTTCTCCCCATCCCTGGGGGCCAGTTTATTCCAGGTCAAATCAAGTTCAGGGGCTGCAGGGCAGAGCAGCCACTGTTCTGGAAGGCCCTGGTCCAAAGGGCGGAGGTGGCAGTCACAGAGCCTCACCCAGGCAGAAGCCCAGGAACAAGACTGGTTCTCACTCGGCCTGTCTCCTTGGCCGGCCTCCAGGATCCCTGTGCCAAATCATGGCAGCAGAAGCCACCGGAGCCGCCGCCATTGCCCCCAGATCTGGAGCTTGGGGGCTCCAGCCATGGCAGGCCCTCAGTCCACCCCAGCCCAGCCAGACAAGTCTCCCCCAGCCTCCGGTCTGGCATCAGGAGAGGACCCGCAAGAGGACCATCCTTCTCCAGGGCCTGGGCGTGAGTATCCACTTCCGGGGGGTCTAAGGGTGGAGAGGAGCAGACAGGGATACGTGGGGAGGGTGCTGGGGAGCCCTGAGGATGGAGGAGCACGAGAAAGCCTCCAGTTTCCCTACTTAATGCTCATCCTGACATTGAAAACGCCATGAGAGGCTGCCCGCACCCACACCAGCACTGGCTCCGTGCTGGCTCCTAGGAAGTCTTCAACAGAAGTTGCTCCTGCTCTGCCCTTCTCACCCCCCAAACCCCGGAGTGGGGGGCAGCGCTCTGGCTGGTCGTGGGTGGTAGGACAGCTACTTGATCCCCATCTGCCTTCCCGAGGTGTGACCCTGCCTTGCGGACCCACCAGGAACCCTGAGACGGTGGGAACCAGACTCGTTCCAGCCAGTTGGTCCAGGGCTCCAGGCACCTGTTTCAGGGCTGGGCCCCTCACCGTGGCCCCCTGTCCCCTGCCCAGGCCTTCCACGTTGTCATCGCCACGCTGCACATGGTCCTCGGGACTAGCCTGGTCTCTGCAGCCGACGGCCTTCACCTGGTGGTGCTGAAGTGTTGGTACCCATTCTGGGGAGCCGCCTCTGTGAGTAGGAGCCAAGCCTGGGCTGGGTGTGGGGCCGCGGCATCTGGGACCGGACGTGGGGTGGGACTGAGAGAGCTCGTAAAAGGGAGGCAGTGGCCAGTGCCTTCTCCGGTGTCCCTCTCCTCATCTGTCCTCTGGTCATGCTGGAAACAGCTCCTTCGCAGGAGACACTCCCGGCTTCCTGCATGCTCCCCTCATTTAACACTCGCCTCAGGCAGAGAAGGGGGTGAGCAACCACAGGGGGTGGCTGGAGCTCCATCGGGCCTCAAGGCGGCCAGGCTGCCTTTGGAGGCAGCAAACATCCCTCTGTCCTGGCCGCAGGCCTGGGTGTGAGCTGCGGCTCCTGTCCTCCCAAGACCAGAGGAGAGCGGTGCACGCACAGTTCCCTGAGGTCCCCCAGGGCGCCCTCCCGACTCTGGACCCTGGTGGAGTCCCGCTCACACAGTGCCCAGCTCCTCTCAGATGAGAGTCCCAGCGCCCCGCTGTCACTCAGGTCCACTGTGCTGGGTCTGAGCTTCCAGTGCACGGAGATGGGACTACGTCCATGCACAGCACCCACTCATCCATTTGCCCCCTTCCCCCCGTCCCGTGGGCAAGGAGAAGGAGCTCAACAAACTTGTGAAAGTATAATTGCAGGAATGCACCAGAGACCTTAGCACAGAGCTAATCTCCTCCCTGCAGCAGGATTCAGGAAGGACAAAGGATCCCCGTGGAGGGGATAGTTCAGCTGATCCAAGAGGAAGGGTTTGGGCTAATAAAATGGGGGAAGCGGGACAGACTGGGAGGGCATCGGGAGCTCAGGGCACAGCTGGACCCGGGTGCGGAGGTCTGTGAGCGGAGAGCAGCTGCTGTCTGGAGCGGGCCTGGGATGGGCCATGTGGCGGGCAGGCTGAGCTCCCTTGGTTGGAGAAATGGTGTTTTCAACCCCACTGGCCGCCACAGGTGGGTTTTCTTAGCAAGTACTGGGAAGGGAAGGGATTTGTGGGTTTCCAGGAACCCCAGCTTCTTTCTTATGACTGTTTCAAACCTGGCCCGCAGTTCCTCTTTACAGGGCTCTCCATGATAGCAATGGAAGTGGTTCTGAAAATCTCTCTGGTAAGTTGGAGCATTGAGATCATTTCCTTCCATTCCCAGCCCGGAGTCCCTTGTGCAGGGCGTCTCGGGGTGTGCAGCAGAGACTCGGGGGGCTGTGGGGAGCAGGCCCGAGTCTTCAAAACAGCAGGGCGCCGCGTCCTGGAGGTCTGCCCCCCACACACGTCCCTGACTCCACACGTTTCCTCCCACCCACCGCCCTTCCTGCACCCCAGTTCTGTCCACCATCCTGTCTGGGCTGGAGGCGCCGTCCAGCCTGTTCTCCACACAGCAGCCAAGCGACTGTTCTCACACGCTGGTCTGCCCACATCACCCCACGGCTGTCAGCCCTCCTCGGTTCCCCGGTGCCCTCGGCTTGCCTCCCACGTCAGCACGTCTGCAAGCCCCAGGCTGCAGCTGGGTTTCTATCTGTTCCCACCCCCGAGCAGCAGCCTGACGCAACTGTGGCCCTGCCCGGTGCTGGGCCGCCCCTGCCCGGCACCTCACCTGTCCCTGCGCACACTCTCTCCCAGCCGGACTTACTGCTGATCACACTTCACATGCAGCATCTTCCCTAACCTGCCATGGCTGGCTTCCGTGTCCGCCTGGCCCCTGGCCCGCTCCCATACTCTGGGTGTCTGAGCACCTTTCTAGCCCAGGCGAGGGGGTGGGGGGGGAATAGGGGGCAGGCACAGGGTAGACACTGACACAGGACTGGCTGATGGACATCAGTGACAGAAGGACTGGCCCTACCACCCCTACTTGTGGCCTCAGTCCACCCCCTGCCCCAGAAGCCCTGGGTGGTCCACCTTGTACCCTAGGCCAGGTCTGGGCTGTGGCTGCCCCCACCCTCCCAGAGGGCCTAGAGAACAGAAGGGCGTTATGCAGTTTAACTGGCGGAGGCAGGAGGTGCCTAGCAAAGACCCTCCTGTCCCTCCTGGGCGGGGGACTCCAGAGCCAGCAGCCTCCCCCTTCCCGCAGCGGAGCACAGGGCACTCTTCCTGCAGAGAAGTGCGTCCCAGCCCAAGAGGCTGGAAGTTCCCTGTGTTTATGTGCTTCCTCACTACAGGGCCTGGCACTTGGTAAAAGGCCCCTGGAATGATGCTTAACCCAAGATGATGAGGACCAGAGACATTACAGGGGCCGTGGAGGGTGGGGAGGGAGGCAGACCTGGGGTGTATGAGGGAGGGCAGGGCACCTTCAGGGCTCCTCCGGCCCTTTCCTGTGGGGCAGACGCTGGGGGAGTGGCCAACTGGGTGTCCAGCGGACACCAGGATGCTGGGGGCCGGCTTTGAGAGGAGATGCAGTGGAAGTATCTTTCTTTATTACAAAGCCCGGGGGCCACCCAATCCTGTCCCTGTCGGAGACGAGAGCCATGGGGGCCTCTCGGGGGCCAGCTACCTAAGGAAGTCATGTTTGGATAAGAGCCTTCAGCCCAGAGGTGGGCAGAGTCTTTCCTGAGGCCCCAGAGCAAGCTCTGGCAGGCCCGAACAAGGTCTGCCAGGGTCTCTCACCTTCGGACAACAGTTGTCCCTTTTATTTTTTGCTCGTAGAAGGTGTCGTGCCTGATAACACACTCCATCAGCATCCTCTGCGTGCCGGCCGGCCTCTATGTCATCACCAAGGACCTCTTTCTGGAGAACCCCTTTGAGTCCCTGGTCCGGAGACTGCTGGACCCCAACGTCACGGTGAGTGGCCAGGCCCCCAGGGTCCCCTGACTCCCAGGAAGGCGCTGCCGGGGGGGCTTGGCCAAGGGCAAGTTTCTGGCTCTCAGGACACTTCCATCGGGACCCAGGCACAGGTGGCGTCGCTCACAGCACTGAGTCCGGCCCCGCTGCTACCGATGGGGTCACTGGGGCCAGAGTGGGCAGGTCTGCGGTCGGGCAGCAAGCTGGCAGCAGACAGCCTGGGACTGTCGACTTCCTGTCCCAGGCTCCTTGAATAGCAGACGCCCAGGGGCCCTGATGTCAGTATCTGTGGGCCTCACAGCAGCCTCGCGGTGCTGCCGAGCCCACTTTGTCACCCCATTTCACCGGTGTGAACGCCGAGGTCCAGAGAGGCCAAATTAATGGGCTTCGGCCACACGGCAAGGCCGCGGTGCCGTGGGGACTCGGAGCTGGGTCTGCGACCCCGTGCCCAGTGAGTGCTCTTGCCACCACAGCTGCCTCTGAAGCAGGAGGTGGACCGGCCGCCCCACGTGTGTGGCCGAGGGCCTCTGGGTCAGGTGCCAGAGGTTCTGGCCGTGCGGGCTCCCTCTTCCTCATCACCTTCCACAAGCACACACGTGGGAGCACACCCATGCTCGCACACACACACTTCCCCCACCAAATGTTCTGGCCCCGTGAGATGTCCCAGCTGCATGGTGGCCCTCAGCCCATCTCCTCCCTCCCCAGCTGTAAGAGACACTCCTTCTCTCTGAGCCCAGACCTAGGCTCCCCATCCAAGTGGGGTTGAATGAACTAATGCCTAAGGCCGCCTGCAGTTCCAAGTTCCACCAGGGACCTGTGAGGTTCTCCAGCCCTCAAATGTTAGACAAATTGCACCGAGGACCCATGGGTGCCAGGCATTAGGCACAGAGCAGTGACGGAGCCAGACCCCCTCCCCGCCCCACACAGCACACCTGGGAGCTGAAGCGCCAGTGCCCTCTGCTGGCGGGGCCTGACCCCTGCGGTGTGGCGTGAGGGGCGCAGGCTCCCAGTGAGGCCTCACTCTGCCCCTGCCTCCCCCAGCTCCACATCCAGAGGCTGGAGCTGGCCCTGCTCTGCCTCACCTGCTTGGAGCTCTTCCTGCTGGGGGTCACGGCCGTCGTAGCCTGCAGGGAGTACCGCCTGTCTACGGAGGTGAGGCCCCCAAGGGACTGGGACAGGAGGAAACACAAGGCTCGGTCGGGCAGGGGACACTGCGGGGGTACACGAGGACTGTGTCTCTCCCTCATTGCCGAGCATTCAACAGCGAGGCCACAGAGGCAGCCCACAGCGCAGTGGGGGAGAGAGGGCACAGGGCACAGAACGCCAGCTGAGGTGGCAAATGCGGGGCCACCAAAGGGAAAAAGCCACGAGCTCTCCGTGCCATAGGCCACTGTGCTCCTAGCTCCGAAGGCTGGGAGACCTCGTCCGGAGGTGCGTGGAGGGCAGGATTCGGGCCGTGATGAGAGAAGCCACCTCGAGCATGGGGACAGCACGTAGGATGGCTTCACAACAGGACAGGGAGGGTCTGGGAGAGCTGGAGCGTGTGGCGGGGGGCAGGGCAGGGCAGGCAAGAGGGGTCCCCTGGCGGAGGGGTCCCCAGGCGGAGCCCTGCAGGCATGCTCGCTCTGGGAAGCCCTTCAGGTAAGCGCGACTTAGCTGAATCTTCCCAGCAGCCCTTTGAGGGAGGTTGCCAGGGTCCAGCCTCAGGGTCCCCGAAGGATGGACTGCGCAGGTGACGAATGAAGAGTCAGACACCTGGTTGGGTGCCAGAGAACAGCCAGCCTCTGTGGGTCTGACCGAACTCCCAGAGTTTGATTTAGGCTTTATTTTTATAGAGATTGTTACATAACATCAAAGGAACAGGTGCGTGGCGTGATCAGTTAAGCAGAAAAAAACAATACAGAGGTAACTAGGAAAAGTACAGGAAATTCCATAGATTCAGTTATGTTAAACAAAGGTTAGTTTGATCAGGAGAGCCATTAATCAGACAATTAGAAATAGCTGTATGTACAGAGTTTTAAATGTCTTATTGTTTATTAAAGTTCTTAGAATTTGGTATGGGTCAAAAAGATATGCTAGACTGAGCAGAGGTTATAGAAAATTTATTACAAGGCCCTTGTGTCTAACTTAGCCATCTATCTTTCTGTCTAAAATGTTTCTTTATGTACTTTGGACTCTAACTCCTTGGTAATTGTGTCTACGTGCTCAGTTTGTAATAGTTAACCAGCTTCTCCTGCTTCTTTATCTGTCTAATTCCATTAATATATATTCCTGTTCCAGGTATAGGAAGGGCTGTTACTGCATCAACTTTTAGATGTTCAGGGGCTACTTCATTAGGGGGGACTTTTGTTCTATCATTGGGATTCTGTGGATCACTGACCCTGAAATACAGGCGTCTAAAAATCCCACCACCTATTAATCACAAAAACAAACATGCAAGGAGAGATAGACAGGAAATCCAGCCACAGCTGCCTCTGCTGGGCGGATGCATCTCATCCGTCCCGACTGTGTCAGGGAATGGCTGCTGGTCAGCTCCCGACAGGAGGTGCTTACCTCCCCATTCCACAGGTAAGTGAGCAGAGGCTTAGAGAGGTCCCACGGCAGCTGGTAAGGAAATCCAGGCCTCAGCCCAAGGTCTGTGTAACCAGCGCCGAGCCCCGTCCACACGAGGGAGCTACAGGACAGAAGGCCAGGAAACAGAATCCTATCCTCGCCCCAGAGGTAGTTTCCCAGGCTCATTTCATTAAAGAAAAATGCATGAGCTCAACTTTAGCACACTATAAAAATGCATGCTGTAAATGCCCCCATAATCCTGCAAATTTCACACTCCGGTTGCCGTCCACCAACTGTTCACGGAACACAGATGTGAGGTGGGGGCCCCGAGTTTTATGTGACCGAGCAGACAAGCTGTCCTACTCACAGCCTGGCCACAGCAAGTCTTCTCGTCAGGACATCAGAGAGCTGGCCGGGGGCCTGAAGCCACTGAGGCCACCCCCACTCTCAGGGGCGGGGGGATGCCCCGAGGCCCCTCACCTGGCTGCGGGAATGAACAGTGACTGCTCCTGCTCGGGGCGCTCGTTGTGCCAGGCACTGCGCTAAGCGCTGCAGACAGCTGAGCCAGTCTCCCGTTGCCGCCCTGACCAAGAATCGCCAACACAGCTGTTGTGTCCTGCAGTCCTGGCAGCCGGCGATTTGCGATGGGTCTCCCTGGGCTGAAGACAAGGCGTCCCGGGGACGCCCCCTGCTGGAGGGCCTGCGGGAGAGCCTGTTTCCTTGCCTGCCCCGGCTTCTAGAGGCTGCCCCTCCGTCCAGCATCCTCAAACATCGCCCTTCTGTCCCCCCTTCCTCTGTGGAGAGCACTCGTGACTACACTGGGCCTGCCCGGGAAATTCGGGGTCACCTCCCCATCTCAAGGGGTCCTGATGAGCGGTGTTAACTCCCCTTCGCTGCGTAACCTAAGACGGTCACGGGTCCGGGGATGACAAGACGGTCACAGGTCCGGGGATGACGACGCGGTCGTCCTTGGCGGCCCTCCCTCTGCCAGCCACCGGGAGGCTCAGGCCTCCCCGAACCTCACAGCCACTCAGGGGGGCAGGCTCTGCTTTCTTATGTTCAGGGGGAGGAACGAGGCTCAGAAAGGTTGAGTGATTTCCCCAGGTCACAGAGCCTGCGGCCTCCCCCATCTGAGAGGACCGTGCCAGGGACAGGCTCTGCGGCACTGGGTGGTGCCACCCCCATCACAGATCAGGGACGAGGACGGTGCAGCAGTGGCTGGGGACACTGTGAGCATCAGACGTGCTCCCAGAATGCCCTGCAGCTAAGAGGAACTGGGGGGTGTCACCTGGCCCAGCCAACAGGGTGACCTGCACATAGACACCTGCGCCCTGGTGGACGGCCGGGAACGAGGCCCAGTTGGCTGCTCGCCCAGTGAGCCCCTCCCTGCTCCTTCTCAAGAACAAGGAGGCGGAGAGAGCCGTGCGCCCCCGGCAGGGAAGTCCCTTGGTCTCTCGGGCCCCCATTGCCCCACCTTCGCAGGGGCCTCTTGACGTCAACACGTGAGCCGGCGGGAAGGTGCTTTGTCAAAGGCCACTCCCCCACACACGTGAGCACTGTGGACAGTGGCTTCTTTTTTGCAGAAGGACAACTTGCCCCTTGTTCCTGACATGTCCCTGGGGTTCAGCGGGCCCCCGCCATCCTACGAGGACGTGATTCAGAACGACGCACAGGAGGAGCAGAGGCAGCCGTGAAGAGGCGCTGGCCCCGGTGTCCCTTCCCCAGGGGCCGTTACCTGATAGGGGCAAACGATGCTGTTTCGACAACTGTCTGACCTGTGCTGGTGGCCTAGGTGGGGCGGTCCCCATCTCCTCAGGCACAGAAGGGGCCTCCAGGCCCCCAGCCCCCATAAGGCCCCTGTGCCTGGTGGGCCAGAGCTGCCTCAGTTGGTCCACAGCACAACCAGCCCCCCCCACCCTGCCAGCCCAGCCACAGAGCCCGCTCCCACTCCCCACCTGCCCTGTCTGCTCTCCCAGCCCATGTGGGTGCCCGGGCGGCCTGGCCCTTCCCAGGCTCAGGCTCCTCAAGAGTCTCTGGGGGGACGGAGTCCCTGGGTTCAGGGTGAAGGCAGCAGGGGCGTTGAGTCAGGCAGAAACCACAACCAGCTCTTCCCCCCAAAGTGCAGGCGGGACTCTCGCCGCCCTGGACCTCAGGGTCTCCAAATGCACAGTGAGGGCCAGTGGACACAGTGACCAGCGCCCCCCACTGCACGGCTCTGATGCCAGGCGTCCGTGCCAGCTGAGGTTGCCCGTGAAACTTTGGCCTCAAAACCCCACACCTACTCGTGCTGAGAAAGCGGGGGGAGGGGGGAGATCCACCTCCCTCGGTCCCCAAACCTCAGGCATCGAGGACAGTCTTCGCAGTCTGTGTTTATTTGTGCACGGTATTATAGTCCCTCTCTGTTTCCTTACAAGGATTTTTTCCTCACATAATAAAGTTTTAGAGGGACACTTTGTATCAGGAACAAAGAAAGTCAATATCTTTCCATAAAAAGAAGCTAACAGCAAAAATAATGTAAACAGGATGAAAATAAAGTGACTTGCCACCCACCTCTGATCTCGCCTCTGATTCTCTGCCTCCTGGCTCCCTGCTGGCTTTTTTTTGGGGGGGGGCCACAGACTCCCCAGGCACGTGCCTGCCTCGGAGCCATCCTCCTGCCCTTCCCCTGCCCCGGCTCCTCCCCCAGTTTTCTGCAGAGCCCGCTCTTTGAATCTTTATGAAGCCACCAACTGGGGGCCAAGGCTGAAGTCTCTTCATCCCCCATCAACCCGTGAGGCAGGTCCTGTGAGTAAAACAGATAAAGGAGGCGGTCATTTGTTATAAATGTATCTCACGAGCTGAATTTCGTGGCATGCACCTGCTACGAAGCGAGTCCCTGCGAGCAACGAGGCAATCGCGACGAGCTCGAGGAGTATATCAGGCTGCGTCCACGTCATTTCTGACCTTGACTTGATTGCACAGAGTCGGGAAAGGCAGGAAGTGAACCAACCAGCTCTTGGAAATGATCACCCTGTGTAGCAACCGGCCTGATGACGCCAGGGTGCTGTTCAGTGAACCGGAGCAGGCGGCAACGAGTGCAAGTCAGAGTCCACACGGAGATGGGCCGGCTTCCAGGGACAGCAGCTGCATCCGCAACGGGCTCGTGACCACCAGCTGGGGCTCTGGAGGCCGGCAGAGGGCAGAGGGCTGGGGACACTGGCCTGACCGTCGTCCACCTGGGAGGACCTGAGGCTGGCAGGCAGTTGCCACACACACACTCATGAAAGGAAATTCACGGGCTACCACGGGGGCTGCAGCTACTTCTGCAGAGGGCAGGTGGGCACCTGGGAAGGGCGGCCATTTGGGACAGGTCACAGGGCCCGTGAGAGCCCTGCGCGCCAGGCCTGCAGGGTTTCCACCTGTCAGGTTAGAAGCTCACACGTATGCAGTCAGGAACCGTTAGGCCCTTCACCTGTAGCATCCCATCTAATCCCACAAGATCCCCTGGGACAGATGTTGCGCCTTGCCCCCCACCTCGGAGATGAGGAAACAGAGGCTCAGAAATGCCTGCTGACTTGGTCAGGCGTGGGAGTGGAGACGCTGGTGCAGTGTGGGGGGCTACAGTCAGGAGGAGACCTCATTCCTACAACAGAAGCACTGCGGGGCTACGGGGACAGGGGTGGGACGCGCCGGGCACTGCAAACCGGCCGGGGCAGAAGGGCCACCTGGGGTATGCCACGGCAGAGCTTCCCACAGACCTCTCCCGATGGCCACAGCCAGGAGAGAGGCCTCGCTGTCCATGCTTATCAAGCACCCAGATGATTCTTCTGATCAAGCAAGACCGGAGAACACCTGGCGAGGAAAGGGGTCAAGGGCGCAGCCTCCAGGCTGGAGGTGCGGCTTGTGAAGCTCGGCGGCAGGACCCAGTGGGGCTCATTAGGGGCAGCAGCACAGGGCAGGTTAAGGAAGAGAAGGAGCGACCAGGCTGCTGGGCAGAGGGCCCCACGGTCTGGTGGAGGGTCAAAAGCCACAGGTCTCGGACGCTGGGGCGTCCCTGCTCTCTGCTCGTGTGTTCACTTGTAATTTGAGATGGGGGGGTGGTTATAGATGTCTCCCGTTTTTGCTCAGGGAGACAGCGTAAGGCCGTGCACTGAACACTGGGTGTGGGGATCAGAAGGAGCCGTTCACAGGCAGGTCCACCTCCTCTTGCCTCACGGTGACCTGAGCAAACAGGGGCTGAGCCCCTGGCCCTGCCCGTCTCGGAGAGAGAGCACAGTAATCCGGCGGGGCAGCGAACCTGCAGACACAAGGTGAGTGGTTAGGAAGCTACGCAGACAGGTGTATGCTGGGCAGTTGGCGGTGTTACTAACTAGCCTGCAGGGCAGCAAGAGAAGGGGAGGCGTCCAAAGCAGGGAAAACCCAGGTGTGCAGCCAGCTGCCCTGGATCCAGGCCCCAGTCCCCTCCTGAACAACTGTGTGGTCCAGGCAAGTTTCATAACCTCTCTGAGTGAAATGAAAGTTGGGCCTCTCGAATCATGAATGCGTGAGGGTCAGCGCGAGCCTGGGGCGGCTGGGACCCCGTCCGAACCCCTTCCCCACCTGTCTCCCTGCACTCCCCAGACTCGCCCTCCCCGCCCAGGCGGCGACCGCTTTAGCGTGTGTGGCTTTGTTCTGAACGGTTCGGTGTGCGCGCGTTTAATTTACACGAAGGGTACTGTGCAGTCTAGTTCTGTTTCTCATCTTTCTGTCCCACCCAGACCCATGTTTAAGGTCCATCCATGTGGCCCTGGGGTCATCCTGTCCTTTGCTTTAACTGCTACAGATTACAGACACGTACACCATGTTTTACCATCTACCTCTCCTGCTGGTGAAGCTTTACTTTTCAGACAGGGAAATGGAGACCCAGGGATTGGGGACCCACCTGGGAACACTCCACCCCACCCTTGGATCACGTACCCTGACCCCTTATGACCTCGTCTTAACCCGTTACATGTGCCCAGAGCCTCCTTCCAAACGGGTCTCATTCACAGGCACCAGGGGTTAGGACTTCAACGTCTTTCAGGAGACTGGGGAGACACAGTTCAACCCCAACCGATGGCAGGGGGCATTGCTATCCGTGCCTCCTCTGGTGCATGGTGAGGACTGATTAATGCCGCCTGTCGCGGCCGCGGGCACAAGAGGAGGAAGTGGCCTTGCGAGCCCTGCCCATGCCACCAGCAACAGAACCGTCCGCGGCTGTTCGGACTGAGTCAGCTCCAGCGAGTCGAAGCCGAGGTGTCTTCCTAGTCTCCGGTAGCGGGTTCCTAGTGCCCCAGGGCAGGTCAGAGGTTCTTCCCGGATCCAGGCCCGTGAAAGACGCGGGTGACTCCTATGGCACAGGAGGCCAGCGCCCTCCCCTGCTGGCTGGGTAAGGACAGGCGCTCTGCTCTCCGCTGCAGGTGAAGGTCAGCACGGGGCTGAACCTGGTCAGCTCTCTGTGTGCTGGCCTCGCCTCGGGAAGGGCGCCTTTGTGGTGCAGCTGGCTGCCAGCAGCGGGGGTACCCAGGTGAGCACCTCGGGCCCCAAAGATGGGGAAGCATAAGGCACCGGAGCCCAGCACCTGCCTTGGAAAAAAGTCGCTCTCAGCAGAAAGCCCCAGGGACATACGATGAGAGGCCACCGGGTGGCGGTGTGGCATCAAGCGCAGAAGTTGGGTACCTGTTGAGGCCGCTGGTCCCAGTGGAGTCTGTTCAAGGCTGCACCCAGAAAGATATTATTTCCAGAATGCAGAACTGGTCAAGGAGGGAAGGGCCAGGAAAGCCACGGGACGGAGACCCCAAGCTGGGGGTTTCCGGGGCATTTCCACGGACACCCATCCCTCCAGGTGTGGTCGCCCTGATCAGCAGCATTTATCATGGCTTCTGGCGGTTTCTAAAATTATTCTGCACGTGTTATTCGTCTTCTCTCCCCAACAGAACCATGCGGCCCAGCAGAAATCGTCCTGCCTGCCGGGCGGGCCAGAAGCACTTGGACACCCAGAGAAGGCTGGAAGCCTGCCACCCTTGGAATGAATCATCTTCCCTTGTTTGTTTAATGTTAACCTATGAGGATGAGAAGTCATTTTCCCATTAATAAAAACCTCTTTCCTTACGTTCACTGTGGAGGAGAGCCTCGGGCATGGTTGACTCTGCTATTCTCTCTGTAGTTTTCCAAAACCCCGTTCAGGAAACATTCTAAAGGCTCCCAGACACATTCTTGGGAAACAACCCTTGCTGGGGATTATTTGTTTTCAGGATCTGGGCTGCCAGGGGGCCGGTCTCAGGGCCGCTGGCCAGTGGGCACAGCAACCAGCAGTGTGCATCACAAAAACACCCCATGAACGTTTTCTTTCTTCTTAAGGGTATAACCTGCTTCAGTATTTTGGCAAAAGAGCCACGAATTTCCTTCCCACCCACCGGCTGCGTGAGAAACACGCAACAGATTTCCGATGAACCCCTGTGAAGTTTCAGTGTGCTACTGGGTCAGTGCCTGCAGAAGCTGCCCACCTGGCCAGTCTCTCAATCACCTGGGCCTGCCTCCTCCAGGAAGTCCTCCTTGATATCCCCTCGCCCTCAGGAGCCTCAGCTGGTGAAACCCTCTCAGTTTTACCACTGGGCCTACCTTGTCTTAGTGGGCTGGCTTCTCACAGACTTCAGCCTTCTCTCTCCAGCTGGACTCAACACAGCTGAGGACAGTGTCCCCATCTTACACGTGTGTGGAACTCATGACACCCAGTACATGCCAGGCAACCAGGAAACCTTGCTCGAATCGATTCTTACTGTTGACTGACCTGAAGTCCTTTTCAGTGGTGTCCAGGAACAAGTTCCTTGAGCAAACGCCTTGATACAGACCTGAAATCCGCCTATCACTCGTCATATGTTTCATAATTTTTTTTCTCTATTTCAAGAAAAGGTTTGGACTCTTAATGTTTCTTAACTGTTAACTCCTAATTCTTTTAAATATTCGCTGGTGCTCTCTTTTCTATCCTATTCTCTACTGCGATTTTCAACAACCCCTGTTGTCCAGGGAATGATTGTACTTTGTCCCAACACCCAGGACAGGGTGATGTTAGCAAAAGCATCTTCAGAGAGCATTATCAACAGCTTTACTGGCTCAGTTTTTCATCTTCCTTCACTCATTCATGCAACAATTTTTTTACTGAGCAGCTACTAAGCACCATGTACTAGTTTGGACTTTGGGAACACAGTAACAAAACAGAAAAATTAATTCTGTTGGCAGGAAACTGATATTCCAGTGGACAGGAAACAAACAATAAACGAGTAAGCCAGCATCTGCTACCATGTTACCACAATGACTTAAAGAACGAGGAAGGGCCTGCCCAGAAATCTGCCTCTGATGAAGTAACAGTGGAGCATCACCTCTGCGCATCACAGCTGCCCCAGGACAGGGTGCAGAAAAGGCCACGAGACTTTCTCCCTGGAGACAGACACCTGAGTGTGAGCAAAGGGTCTGTTCCAGTTACCCCTGCCATGTAACAGCCCCAACCGTAGTGGTGTAAAACAACCATTTCACTGCACTCGCAGCT